TCTAAGATTACTACAGAGGCCCCGAAGTCCCAAAAATGAAAACATATCATCTTCTGTTCGCAAGTTATTATTTATGGAAACAAATTATTATCATGTGTACACAATATTATCTTGTGAAAAACAAGTTATTATGTAGCATGCACACACGAACTGTAGGAAGATATTAACTTGTGGCAACAATCGTCTTATGGACAAGATAATTGTGTTGTGGGTACTCCTTTAAAAACAAAAAAAACAATCTATTTTTAGACCTTTATATTCCAAAGAATTTCTTCTGTTTTCCTGTTTTACCAAACATATGTTCGAGTCATGTGACCAATAAGTGTGTTGTTTTGCATGTAAAGAATAATTGTGTGTATCTGCATTATTTCCCCCACATATCTCCAGCAGCTGACATAATTATGTTCAAACTTGGACATCATGGATGATGCCCTAAAACATGAATCTTCCATGAATAGGTCTATTCCTGCCGAGGTGATCTTATGTCGAGGTAAATCTTTAAAGCTATGATATGATTCTACTTTTTCTCAGGTATATTTATGTTCAGCTCCTTCTTCAATTTCTCTTTAATATAACCTTTATCTTCAAAGATATCTTCCTATTAAGCTATTTGGTAAATTTCTCCTATATGTCCTACATTTATTTCTGCATGTGATTAGTATGACGTTATAAAAATGATTATGCTTTTAATATCTAATTTAAGAGTCTTTGGAAAATAAGTTAAACATTTTAACATGCTTTTCGCTTTAATATATCTTTATTTTACATGTCTTTTACACAATAATGTTATTCTCATGGGCTATGTCATTTTTCACATTTTCATTTACAGAAAAGCACGGTGCCCTCAGTGATCCACGTGTGACGTCATCTGTGCTGCGTCCATGTTTTCCTCAGCAGGAGGAGAGAGTGTGATGATGAGGATGATGTGTTTTAACGTTGTTTGCTGACATGACGGGTCCTGTAGATAATAACACACCTGCTGTAACCCTGACTACCCGACACCTTTACGGTCGTTATTGTTATTGCCGAGCGTAACATCGCAATGTGTCAGCCTGCAGCTCGGTGTGAATGAAAGGAGGGAGGAGCTGCTCTATAGATCCGGTTCTTTCTGCTGATCTCCTGTGGACCAAAGGTAAGACACTACAGCAGCTTCATGTAATCACTGAGTCGCAGCTGCACAGGTGGATGTGTAAGGTTGTCAAGCTTTATGAAACAGCTGCTGCACGGTTTGTTTCAGACATTTTTACGTGACTGCAGTTCATTTGACCTGCTGCTGAGTGAAGCGATGACAGCAGTGACAGATCATACCCTGATTTACTTATCTACATACAAAGCTCAGATTCATCTTCAATAAACTGAAAAACATGGTCCATTCACCTTTTGTGCCATCATATCCTGCACGTGAACAGGACTGCAGCTGCTCTCAGTGGGTGGGTGCAGGTTGGGAGGGATGGAGGATGCATAGTGTGCGTACAGTTTTTATATGCAAATTGAAATCCGTCTCATCTAATATAGACGCAGAGAAGGCTTCTCTGCATGGTACAACTTCAACTACCAAGGTGCATGGAGAATGAAAGGCTTGAAGATGTCAAAAAGCTCCAGCAACACATGATGTAGTATGAATATCATCTTTAGTAATATAATTAAAGTTAATACATTTGATCTTCACAGTACAAGTGTTGCCGTTGCTTTTTTACCTCTTCTTGTCTCCACATATGACTTTGATCCTGGCAGTAAGGGGAAGGATTCTCCTCTAGATATATATGTAATATGTTAACATATATAACTTCGCTGTTTTAAGAGATTGAAGCAGTGCACCATGTGCCAAAATTGTCAATTAAAAATGAATTACTTTAGGCAAATAGTTTCCAAAATGTTGACACATTCAATACCTCAAATAAACTATTTCAATAGCTCTTTGTTTTTTTTCTGCCTCAACGTCCCAATTCACGAAGCCCATTGTTTTGCTCCAGGTCCAAAGTTGTTGCTAACTTCAGGACTAATCTTTGAGAAATTCCAATCCGGTTTTAGAGCTTGCCATAGCACAGAGACTGCCCTCCTCAAGGTAACCAATGACCTTCTTTTAGCAGCAGACAGAGGGGAGGGCACAATTTTAATTCTTTTAGATCTTAGCGCAGCTTTTGATACTGTTGATCACACAATTTTAACTGATCGTCTCAGACATTGGGTTGGTTTAAAGGATACTGCACTTAGCTGGTTTTACTCTTATCTTTTAGAAAGAACCTTCACGGTCACCATCGGTAACTACTCCTCCTCTACCTCTAACATTACCTGTGGTGTACCGCAAGGTTCGGTTTTAGGTCCCATTTTATTCTCCATTTATATGCTGCCTCTTGGCCAAATAATTGAACGCCACAATGTCTCCTTTCACTGCTACGCAGACGACACACAGATATACCTTCCTTTGAGACCTGAGGACCCTAGGAGCCTAGCTGCTGTCAGAAACTGCCTAAGCGATATCAACTGCTGGATGGCGCAAAACTTTCTCCAACTGAACAATTCTAAATCTGAAATCATAGTATTCAACCCGCCAAACACCACTCATATCTCAAAGAGCAGCCTCGGTCCCTTATTCACCAATGTCCAACCCACCGCCAGAAATCTAGGAGTAACATTCGACTGCAATCTCACCTTTGAATCCCATATCAAAACAGTTGTCCGATCAAGCTTCTTCCATCTACGCACCATCTCCAAAATTAAAACAATCCTAACCCAACGAGACCTTGAAAAGATCATCCACGCCCTCATCTTCTCCCGACTTGACTACTGTAACTCCCTCTTTTCCGGAATCACAAATAAGTCACTGTCTCGCCTCCAGCTGGTCCAAAATGCAGCAGCTAGGCTTCTTACTGGTTGTAACAGACGACATCACATCACTCCAATTTTAGCTTCATTACACTGGCTTCCTGTACGTTCTAGAATCGATTTTAAGATTTTACTCATTACTTTTAAAGCACGGACGGGGCTGGCTCCAAGCTATATAACAGAGTTACTGACACCATATGAGCCAGCCCGCAGTCTTAGATCCTCGGTGGGAGCCTCCTGGTCGTTCCAAAGTCGAGACTTAAAACTAAAGGTGACCGGGCCTTTTCAGTCAGGGCCCCTCGACTTTGGAACGACCTCCCTGAGGAGATAAGACTCGCAGACTCCCTCAATTCTTTTAAATCCCTTCTTAAAACATACTTTTACAGACTTGCTTTTATGTGATGTCGTCTTCTTAATGTCTTCTCTTACTGGTTTTACTATTTTTATCTTCTTCTACTTCTTACTGTCTTTTATTTATGGTCTTATCTCGTATTTATGCTCATATCTTAATCTCCTCTTGTGTTTTAACTTGGTAATTTCTTATCTTACTTACTTTGTCTATTTATGTTTCGTATTTATAGTTAATTTTTATTTTTATTAATATTATAGTTTTGGGTTTTTTGATCCTTTAACCACTTGTTTTTATTTCCTTTACTGCGCTTACCTTCTCATTGCTTTTTATTTGCTTTTATCTCTTAGTTTCTTACATCTTTTTAAATCTTTGGTCCTCTTGGTCTCAGCTCATGTTGTTGGGTTCTTGTGTTCCTGGGTTCTTATGATGGTTCTTATGATGGTTGGGTTATATATGTCTGGTTGTGTATCGTGCACTTTGGGTTCTTTTCTGTTGAATTGTTTTTAATTATTTTTGGTATTTTGCATCTGTTATATTCTTACTGTTGTTAATGTTTTTCTGTGTTTAGTTTGCTTTGTTCTTGCTGTTTGTCAAAGCACTTTGTAAACCTGTGTTTTTAAAAGGTGCTATATAAATAAAGTTATTATTATTATTATTACTGCTCTGGTTGAGTCTTAGATTAGTTTACGCTTCATCAAGTGGATCACAAACACTTGATTTGTGAAATATTATTTGCATTACAATTTAAATGTTATACTTTAAAATTTTGATTTCAGTTATTGAGAGTTACAATTGAACATCTAAAATCTGCTTCTTGAACAGTTTTCAAGTTGTTGTTAGAGAGAGAGAGAGAGAGAGAGAGAGAGAGAGAAGGAGAAGAGGAGAGGTAACAGGTCAGAGGAAGGGTGAAAACTGTAAAAAAGTCAAAAACATTTCATTCTTAGCCAAGCCTGGATTACTTTAAAATGTCTCTAAGATCGAGACAAAGTCAATACTGGACCAAATAAAAGTTGTAGAGATCATTATTCATCATTTTAAATCTATATTAAAAGGTCTAAGTGTTCATCTCAACTACCAAGATCTGGATCTCTGACCCTTAAGGTCTGAGGTGTTTCTGTGAAAATCAAGCTTCTTACTGTATGATAAAAATAAAATAACTTTGTCTTTGGTGAAATACCTTTTCAAATTTTAAGATTGGAAAAAGTATTAAAGATTATCTTAGCGTGTACTGTGAACACTGTAAAAAGGAATTGTAAAATCCAATGCGGACTAAAGAGGTTGCATAGTAAAGAGACACAAAAGAAGGCAGTATAAAATAAAAAATACACACTCCCCTCTTTCACACATCTACTGTCAACTACATGGTGGAAAGACCAAATGTGTTGTAATGCAGTGCATGTGACAGAAAACGCTTCTTACACTGTCTTTGGTGTCCTGAAGATTTACAAAGTCAGGCTCCAGAATGTAGCTGAAGCTGCAGACATCTACCAGCTGCTGCTTCTGCTGTGCCAGCTTGTCACTCAGAATCACCCGACTCTCCTGTAGGTCCTGATCACCTGCTCACACTCGACTACATGCTGAAATGATACATACGCCATGTAAGATCATTTAAAAAATAAAAATGAATCTGGCCCATATGCAGAAACGGAAAGTGGCAGTGTTATACCTTGTGTGTGTCCTGGATCTTGCGCTGCAGGCACTGTATCGCTCGGTTTAGTTCGCCTTTTGTATTCTGTTTGATGGAAGTGTGGACCATGGCCTCCCTGCGCAGCACAATGGTCTCCCTCCTTGCCACTGTCGCTTCACTTTCTCTGAGCAGTCGCTCCTGCTGCTTCATCAGCTGGTTGAGTCGTACCTGCACAACAAAACACGTTGAATAGAGTGAACACATTTATTAAACAAGCTCAAGCACATAGAGAACTCCACACAGAGAGGCTCCTGTCTTCATTATGAAACATTAGGAACCTTCCTTAGAGGTTGCATCGACAACACTGTAAATTAAACACATGGAAATCCATTCACAATGGGGAGGGCCACATATCAGCACTACAGTCCAAATACAATAAAACACTTACCATTCATTGTATTCACTTATATGTCAAACTTGTTCATATTCATTTTGCGGGATCTCTCAAAGGATCACAGAGGAAAAAAGACCTCAAAGTCTTCAGTAACACGTCTTTTTTGTGCATATACATTCAGGAACAAACAGAGAGATGTTTAAGGCTTTACCTCCATACGGTGTATCTCAGTCTTCATCATCTGGAAGTCTCCCTGACCCAAATCTATGTCCACGGCAGAACGTGTCTCTTTTACAAGCTGGATCTTCTTCTCCCACAGCATAATCTGCTGCCTATTGGCCACACACACAACCAAGGGAACGCAAGAGAAAACAGAATGGAGATAAGAGCCAGGACAAATGATCAAATCTGAATGATAAGAGCAGCAGACATGATTCAAATCAGCAACATTTAACACACATTTCATTTCCTTGTTAACTTGTGGAGCATGTGATTTTCTTCAAGTTGAATACTAGACATGTAATCTAAATCAACTTGTAATAAATGTAGAAGTGACTGACTGGGCCTCTAGCAGACTGTTAAGGAGTCTCTCTTTTTCCTCCTGGGTCTTCTCGTGTTTCATCTGCATCTTGATAGAATCCCGCTCAGCCTCCTTAAGACATTATATGACATAATAAGTATTACTTCAAAAAAAAAAACACCATTGGAGAGAAATGAAACTGTTCTGACATGCCTTGAGTCTGTGCAGGAAGTCTGTCTCCATCAGTTCATTGTCCTGCTCTAGTGCAACACTGAGCTGTCCGTTCTTGCTGATCAGAGTGTTGAGCTTCAGCAGGTCGCCTCTCAGCGTCTTTGCATTCTTCTCCAGCTCCATCTTGTCACGATGCTCTACTTCCACCTGACCTGGTGGGTTTGGTGATGGCTTAATAGTAGCTTACAGGGTTCTTACACATTTTTCCATTTTAAGAATTCCATACATGGCGAAACTTCCAAACTTTTTTTTAGACAATATGTCATGATAAAGAAAAAAGAACCAAAGATTTATTCTGAAAAATATGTTTTTTTTAAATCTAACTGTAAACATGTACACTCCATTCTGACCGTGTATGCTATTCTGATGCCAGGTGTTCACAACACAGAAATAACCTGTGCATATGGCTTTCAATCTTAATCTCCACCACGACTGACCAGATTTGTCACTGTGTTCATGGAAACTCAGTTATATGCCCTGCTTGGATAATCAGTTTATTTGTAGATATTCTAAATTTGATATTTAGAAAATAGTTTCAAAAGCCTAAAAACTCAAACATTTGAAATACTTACTTTGCTTTTTAATAACTGTATGTTCATTTGGGAGTGATTACAGTGACTACCAGGAAGTGACTACAATCAAACTTAATCTGAAATCTTGATTTGCATCACAAACTTCTGCACTTTCACCCAGAAAGTCAAAAAACGGATTTTAAGTAACCAGTCTTGTCAGCATTAATGTGTCATCTCGACAACCTTTTAGATCTCTCAGGGAAACTTGTACATAATGTTTTAATGTCTGTAAATTGTACGATGTCCTTCTTCTCTCTTATGAAATGTGTGTGTGTGTGTTGTGTGTGTGTGTGTGTGTGTGTGTGTGTGTGTGTGTGTGTGTGTGTGTGTGTGTGTGTGTGTGTGACTGGTTGATTTGTATTTTGCTGTTGCCATCATCTGCCCAGGGACAACAGATGGAAATTAGCTAGCTAGCTAAATCTGGTACAAAGCATCTCTTCTCTTCTGAGACTAATGTTTTTTTTGTACACTGTCCCTGATTCAAATAAACGATAAAAAAAAACCCTGGCCATATGTAAGACTGAGAAGGCGCTGAGTTAAAGCACAAACTGATGGCTTTATTATGAATTCTATTTGAATGACTGACCGATACTTGTATCCTATGCACCTATGTGTGTCAATGTGTGCTTCTTTAAACTTGAACACTTACTCTCCAGGCATATCCTTTCCTTCTGCATGCCTGTGTACTCTTTCTGCAGTTTGAACATGTCCTTGCTGTTGGCTTCTATTTCCTGGCTCTGCTCTTCCAGTATCTCCTGACGTTTCATCCAGAGCTTTTTGACACTCTCCATAGTTGCAGTCACTTCTGCAGACTGTGACATCAATGCCTCTATCTTGATTTGCATCGGACTAAGGTCATCACGCTGGGGAAAAATTTGAACAAATCACAAAAAGAGAGCATGCCATTTTCATACCTGACTGAAAATATCGCTATCAAATCATCTTCCACATAAAAAAGAAGACAGAGGATTACTGCTTCCCCGTCAGTAACTCACCCCAGTGCTGGCGACGATTTGACCGATTTTTTTGTCATAGTTTGCTATGCTGGATTGCTTCTGCGCAATTAGTGTGACAAAAGAAGAAATGTTGGCCTGGATGGTTGTTGTTATCTTGTTTTTCTTTGAGATTTCTTCATCGAGGGCTTCCTGGATGACAGCCAGGCTTTCCAGATGTTGAATGACCTTGCTCCTCTCCAGTTCCACCACTGCTATATTGTTCTCCAGCTGCCACAACTGAGAGACCTAAAAAGGGAGGGAGAGACGACAAGCAGGACAAAAAAATATATATTGTTAAGCATCTATTGTTTATCATATTGCACATGTGGTTTTATTCTGTTGCAGTTTTGTATCCTCTGGCACTGAACTGAAGCTGCTTTCCATGACCTCTTAGAGGAAACATCCTCTTATTTGTGTACATAAAGTTCTGTTTACTCAACATGAGATGGCGGAGCCATTACATTATCTATAGACTTCCATTCAATCTGCGTTGTGGATTAATGTAACATATAGCTACTTTTATTAACGTGTGGCGAGGAAAATGTCCAACTCTGTAGGAGTGTTGGAATAATTTTCCAGGACACTTGATTTTCCTTGACATTTTACTTTTTCTCTCATTCTCCAGGTGTTTTCCAGTACTGGAAAATTAGTCAATTGTTTTCCAGGTTTTCCAGGACAAGTGGGAACCCTGATATTCACATATACGGTAACTGTACCTTACTGATGGAGGTCCAGTTTTATACTTAAGTTCTAAGAAAATTCTTCATAGTTTTATAATATACATTTTTTATATACAATTTTGGTTATGTTTTTAGACAAGTTCTAACTTATGTTGACACTAAAAAGGATGAAAAACTTTAAAAGACAGACTTTATGGAAGAGGTATTTGCTTGTAGAGATTTGAGAACATGTACGTTTTGACTGATTGACTGTCAAGCTTTTTACACACTGAGTGTTTCACTCAAACATCCTGAATACTTTACGTCTTTTTAAAACCTATATTTACCTTTTCCTTCTTAAGCAAGGCTATCTTGCTGGTGAGCCTTTCGGAGTATTTGGCCGCCTTGTTGTGGGTGAGCTTCTGCTGCATATTGGTCATAATCTTGTCCTCCAACTCTAGGCGCACAGCACTCTCTTTCTCCAAGTGCTTCCTCTGATCGTTCACTTCAACCTGGTGGATGCCCGTTTCCTACAGGAGACAGAAGAACAAAACAAGTTGGAGAGTGAAATGGTGACAAGGGGGAAAAAGAAAGTGGCAAGACAATGCAATTAGGACATCTTGATAAATTGGTTGCAGTGCTGTCACAACAAAACGTTGTGTCCTCTAAGCACCTTAGTCAGCCTGCTGAGAGTGCGCTCAGTCTCCCTTAGAGTGCGAAGGCAGGTTGTGTAGTGAGCATGCAAAGCCTCTTGCTGGGCCTGCTTCTGGCTGATCTGCTTCTTTGAGGTGTTACCATCCATCTGGGACCAGTTGAGCTGCATAGTTAGTGTCTCATTTTGCTCCTGCTCCTCAGCGACAGATTTCTTGTATCCTTCAATCTCTCTGTCCAGCAAAATCCCCTGGTGCGCAACAGCACTGGGAAAAACAAACACGGTGGAAAGAATGAATTTGCTTGTTTTACAAAAATACAATTTACCCTCCAGTCTAAGTCTAACATTGCGATTGGGTCTAGTGCAGATGATGTATTTTCTTTATATTATCTTCAGACTCTGGGAGGACAGCTGAGTCACATTCAAGTTGATGTAATTGCTGTAATTTCACATTTTGCTTGATCTTTAAAAATGCCAACCAAACAGCAAATCTCAGCAAAGAGGAAAAATATCCAAGATGCTGCTGATTTTATGCATGCTGTACTCAGTTACATGTCAATATCCGTGATGCCCTCACTCTCACCGCGTGGCGTCCTGCATTGCGCTGAAGGCCTCATCTCGTCTCCTCATCCCCATCAAGCTGCTGCTCCACTGCTGCATCAGCTGCCTACGAGCCATTGCCAGAGACTCCACTTCCATCTCCGCCTGCACACAGAAAGGAACGTGACAGAAACACATTTTTGGAAGGATGTTTTTTATGTACTTCCTTAACAGCCAAAAATGTGTCACCATGCCTAGTATAACAAAGGTGTACCTTCGTATTAATAAACGTACAACACTGTCCTGAGGGAACAACAGCATTCCCAACGAGTGTTTTTCATTTGCTTAGAGTACATTTTATGTGGAGAGGCTGGAGTCCATCAGGTCAAATGAATAATGTACTGTCATAATAATCACATATACTGCCAGGCTTTACTCTCTGTTGTCTCTATACCAAATATCACTGTTAGTTCTGTTTGGATTATAAAGACACTGGATTCATTTTCTACTAATCAATATCTATACAGCAACAATAACTAATGTCAAAGGTGTCCAAAACAATGATCACCTGATACTGCAGCTCACCAGAGTCTTCTTGCCTCTTCTAGACAGCTCTTCTGTTCACTGTTGAAAAAGGTTTGCTAGTCTGACTGTACACTCCCTAAAAAGTGTCATAAAGCAACCAAAGTAAGTGACTAGCTGTGACAAAGTGTGGTCTATTCTGTGGCTAAAAGGCTGTGTTTATCTCAGGAGTTGGTTGAGATCAGAAAAGAGCTAAAAAAAAGAGAGTGGGTATTGGGCCTCTATCAATTATTTTGTTCAAGAATTTTGTTCTCTCCTGGTTGATTTTAAACTAATTTTCCTTCATTGTATTGAACTGCCTCTCCATACCTGCCTGTTGAATCTATATTATTCCTGTTATTTGCATTTTTATAATTTTGCCCTCTCTGTTTGGCCCGTCTGTTGATCTCTGTTCTGTTGTCGTGTTGCTGTATTTGCTTTGTCTGTCACAGCACTTTGTAAACATTTGTTTTAAAGGTGCTATATAAATAAAGCTATTATTATTATTATTATCTACACGAGGGGCTAGAGCCGATCCCAGCAGACATTATGCTGGAGACGGGGGAAACCCTCGAGAGGTTGCCAGTCAATCACAGGGCCGACACAAAGAGAGGGGCAACCATTCACTTCACCATTCACCATTTACCCTAACAAGCATGTAGGCAATGGCAGAGCAGAGGTAGCATTAATGTAAGGACAACAGTGCTAACCAAATCACCACTGTGACGCTGTAAACGTGACTTATATCTTTTATTTGTAACTCTTAATGACTGTACTTAACAATCTGTTTTTTCCTGGATATTCAAAATCCCCAACTAGATATGATAATGTGTCACTTTTGCTATCAGGTTTGTCATTAAGCGCTGGAACGTGGTGACACATTTTTGAAGCTTTACACACTTCTGTCAATACTTTCCAAATGTTTCTAGTATTAATATTTGCTCATATGATTAGTGCTTATTTGGTGATTAAGGACCTTTTCGAATTGACAGGTTTATATTGTTGTATGCCATATTACAGTTACCTCAGCTAGAGCTTCTTTGGCTGCCTGTGTCTCTTCTGCTTGGGCACTCGCCTGGGTCTCATACATGGCTACCTGCTGCGTCAGCCTCTCCAGATCCTTCATTAGACGCTCAACATAAATATCCTTATAGCGAAGGAGTATTAAAAAAAAAATACAACAACATTATTACACAATAAAGCCTCATATAGTCAGAAGTTAAAAAGATGTAATGTTTTAGCTGTGTCCTGTCCACCTGCTTTAATTTCTGTTCTTCAGCCTGGGTCTTCTCAGCTCCCGCTTTGTGTTTGGCATTCTTCAAAGCTTTCACATGAGAGCGCAGATCCTCACTGACTCCTTGTGCGAAGACGAGATGCTGCATCAGGTTGTCTATCTCCGACTGTAGCTGGGACACTGAAGAAAAGATTCACAGCAGTCAGCGCATTAAATCTGTGTGGACATCCACTGCTGCTGTCTTTCTGTTGCTGAGACAGAACTGTATATCAAAAGGACCTAACTAAAGGCTGTTTTTTTTTTTTTTTAACAATATGTTTATTGAGTTTTAAATATTTTTCCCAGACACACAATTACAATTAAATAAATTCTAAGGAAAGATAAAAAAAGAAAAGATATACACATGTACATATATACACATTAATAAAAGAAGGGGGAAAAAGTAAAATATAATAATAAAAACAAAATGTTGCTTAATTATTACTGTCTGTATTAAATAAAAATAACTAAAGGGAGTACATTGCCATAAATAATTTGTTAATCACAAATATTCTGCCCGAGAACAGTTTCTGCAAAAACAACCACAATTGCAGACATCGCCAACTCTTTACCAGCCTAGCTCAAAATATGTGACAGATCTTTATCCCGAAGGAAATTAATATATAGGCCCCAGATATCGTCAAATAATTCTTGTTTGTCTTTAAGTGTATATGTTATCTTTTCCAGAGCCAAGCACAGAGACATTTCATTAAACCATCGTGTAATACTCAGCCTACCACTGTGTTAAAGCTGTTAAAGCTATTGTTCTTTTAGCCTGCAATATGCAGAGGTCTACTAAGACCCTAAAGGCTGTTTTAAATAGAAAGGTACTAATGACTGTTTGAAATCACTCTCAGTAAGTTTAAATGATTGAATCTCTTGTACATACAAAACCATCTGAAATCTCATTTCTGTAGCTTTATAACTACTCAGAGAATAAACTCTTGTAATTAACAGATCTGGTGAAGTAATATTTACTTCAATTAAATAATTAAAATACATTTTCTTCAACTTGTTAAAGCTCTAATATTTAAGCTTGTGTGTCCATACTTCTTCTCCTGGCTCAAGTTGAAGTTAAATTGAGTTGCGTGAGAGGCTCAACTTCAGTTTTTGGTTTCAGAACACAACACACCACCCTTCACTATTTCTAGAATTAATTGTCCAGGTCAGGCCTATGTTTCAGAATATTTTGTAATATTTCCAAATTTGTCTTTAAAATGAGAATTGTTAGAAAATATTTGTGTTATGTAAGATCTGTTGAATCAAAGTAAATGGAGACAGAGAGTTCTATAGAATACTCGATCAACAACAAAACAAGACCACTAAATCACTCTCACTGTTAGATTTGGCTTTCTTGTTCTGGTTGGTGGTACTAGAATACTGGCTCTTCACCACCCCCAGTTGATCCTGGATCTGCCGATGTTTGGCTTCAGCCTGTGCCTTGTTTTGATGACGCTCCTCCAGCCTGCTCTGGAGTCTCGCAAGCTGCTCCTGAACCCTAAATAACTCGACAGCTACCTCCAGTTTGTGCTTGTCATCCGTCTTCTCTATTGATTGCTGGAACAGTCAGAGAAAGGGCACAACATCCCTCGTTTAGTCTTTCAGGCAATCTCAGTATACTTTCTATACATTTTCCATATATACAATTTTGGTCACATATATCCATGTTGTGTTAATATCTTATGCTGTTGAGTAAATACTACATGAAGGACCATAGATCAAAATAAAGAGATTTATTATTATGATCTATTTTTAAAGAGATTTATTATTATGGTCTATTTTTAAAGAGATTTATTATTATGATCTATTTTTTCTTCACAGGTCAACAGCACCATCTTGTGGATGAATTGACATGTGGGGTGATTGTTAACTACATGATGTTTGCTTCTTAAGGTGTACATCTATTTATGTTAGAACTAACACAATATGGTACGTGAGAAGATACCAACCTTTTGCTTTAGACGCTCGTTGATCCTCTCCAACTCATTGCTGAGCTGCCTGCTGAGGGCGGCTTGCTGCCTTCTAACCAGGGGCTGCCAAAACATCAAACACGGCATCAAAGGCATGACAGTAGGCTTTATAAGAATCAACCAACTGACTATAAAATCATTGTATTCGTACACTAAAACCATGATTCTGCAATAACATGGAATCTTTAAGAAGCTACAGACATGCTCAGGGTCCAGAACAATAAACTCCTCTTCTTCTTGCAGTGGATCATGGTCCTCTGTGTCTTCCGATGCATTTAGATCTGAGAAGTGAGGTAACGGCACCTCAGTAACATTTTCCACCACTGAAATCAGAAAATCAGGCAAATCTTTAAACCATAACAGCATCTAAATGTAAAAAAAATAAAAATATAATGCTGACTGTGAAAGTACTCGTAAACATGTTATTGAAAGTATTCTTGTCTTTCTTTGACTTTATCTTCTTAAATAATATATTTGTGTTCATTCTTTTGTTCTTTTTGTTATACTTTTGATAATAACATCTCATTGATTCAGTCTCAATTTATTAAATTGACTTTTGAATAAATAGGTCTTGAGCAAATCCTCCTATATGAGCCCTTATAGATGTCATTTAAATCAGTTTGCACTACATTTGCCAATATGTATTTCCCTTTGGTGATTAAGAATCATATTGACCTTTGTTAAAATGTGTCACACTGTGTTGTTTTATACTCTTGTAAATCACAAACAGGGTTACTGTGAGACTGACCTTCAGTGTGATATTCATCTGTGCCCTTGTGGTCAGAGTGAGGCTCGGGGGTCGCCCTATCCAGCTCTGCTTCTGGCTGATCCTGTAAGCCACACTGTGACACATACAGAAAGCACATAGAAAGGATTTTTGGATACTGAAAAATGATTTAAACAGAGTTCAGTTATGAACACACATTGGATTGCAAATATTCAGCCTTTGTGGGAACTGGTTATTTGTGTTTGATAGGACAAACATTGTATGCAACAGTATAGGGTACTTGGATTCCTTGTTAATTATTCTATACAACACACTAGCAAAGTGTGATATCAATTAAATATCACATAATAAAACACAATGAATGTGGCTATTTATTCACAGGATGACAAGAAGATATCTCTTTATTGATCCCCACAGGAGAATAAAAACACTACATCAAACAATATGACACTTCTTTACCTCTTGATCGAATGGTACAGTTGCTCCATGGTCCTCTGCAGATTGAACTCTTCCATCCTGCGTCCTGCTGTCTTCCTCCTCTTGGTCGAAGCTTTCCATCCTACCCTCCTCTCTTTCCCTCTCCATGAGCTCTGTGATGACAACATATAGACTGGATCGTTTTACATGACAACCAAGTGGTTTGAACATAGTAGCACTAGCACATCTATACTGGTAGCGTCAGTGTCTTCCTTCCCAACAGGTAAACAAACATACTGTAACTGTGTTTTTGAACGCTATTTTTCTCCAATTTCTTCTGTAGAAAACTATCTCGCCATATGGCCTGTGTAGAAAGAAGGAAAACAACGGAGCGAACACCAGCGCTTACGTTAACTTAGTCGTTTAGTAGTAGTAATAGTAGTCGTTTTGTTTGAAGGCTGATGTAACTAAAGTGTGGAACAGAAATAATAAATACAGTTTTTTTTCTGTATGTAAAAAGGTAAATAATTCCATCCAATTGTGATTAAAATAAGCGCTATTGTTACTTACCACTGTCACACAATCCCCCCCAACAACCGTTGCTCGGCAACCGCAAACTTCCGTTAGAGCAATGAGTCGTCGTTATATCAGACCGGAAGTTGTGACCGGCAGCTGTAAAGTTCTCGAAAAGCATTTGTTGATGATGCAGCAGCAACAGCAGCATCTTTACTGTAAATAAAGACCGAATGCATTCATTATACAATTATTATTATTATATATAATTATTAACAATTTTATGGTCATAAAAACACCATTTCCGGTTCAATGTAGGAATGTAGGCATATCCTTCGTATGTGATCAACTTAAAAAAACATACAGGTAGGGGATTTGTTAAGTAATGACTGAAATATAGCCTACAACATTACATTTACTTTATGTTGTCGACATGTAGGCTAGTTTACAATATCAAAAAATGATGAACTTAGATAAGTCAATTAAATGTGGTGCTTGTGTGATCAGTGGAGACAGCTTACATTAACACTAGGCTACATCAATGCAATGGCCATGAAGTTAGCCTATAAAGCAGTAGGCTATTACCCTTACTGCTGCCATTTCTTGTTCTTTAAAAAACTAAAAATTTTCAGTCCAGAGAAAATAAATCATAAAACACATACTGAAAACAAAAATAAAGCAAAATGCAAAAAAGGCTTTCATTGACAGTTTTATTTTTGCTCTATAAATAAAGCATAAAACACATAATCACTGAATTTGGCTTTAAAATGTCTTGATAATTGTAAAAAGTCATAATTAATTCACAGAGACAAATCATGGCATGTCTTCATATATCCTCGAAAATCTCATTTAATTCTGTTTATTCCAAAGCAGTAGACAAAAATACAACCATAACCCATCTCATGTAGTCATTCATAAACAAAAAAAAGCAACCAAGGCATTACGGTTTAGACAGTCCTACAGAAACAAATCTATTGTGTGGTACAGAGCTTTAGTATCTTAAGAGAGCAACAAAATTAAACAAGGTAAGAATTACTGTAAACAATGTAAATGAAGGCATTGTAGTACATTTGTAACATCAATTAGAGGTGTGTACCTTTGAGCAGAGACAGATCCAACACCAGAGGTCTAATTAAGGAGTTTGGGTTGCCACAGATTAAAATATTTTATTAGAAAAGGGACCTGAAGTTAAGACTATACAATCTTGGCAAAAGTTGCTCTACTATACAGTTGTACCTCAACCTCATTGTTTTACACACAGCATGGAGTTTTTAAAGCTCTGTCATGTATTAGAGTTGGTCATTTAAAGTCACATCTGCTGAAAACATTAACACCATGAAGGTAGAAATGATGTACAAAAAAATACACCACATGGAACTCCATAAACAAAACAATTGGTTGACACATTTGGATATAAAAAGGTATGCAAGATCAGATAGTGTTAATCACAAACAAAAAGAAATCTTGTACTTTGCATAATAATTTGCATACCAGTGAGAATGTAACTGGGTGGAAATTGTTGTCATACAACTACAAGTAACCAAAACTATCCAAATATACATTCAATAGACATGTTGTAGGCCTCGTACTTCTCATCAGACATTCAGTTATATATTACATCCATACGAAGATCATACTAAAGCCTATGCAGCGTTTCTATCATTGCACTTATTGTGTTTTTGTACTTGTCTTTAGTGGAGACATTTTATACCAAAATGACACTTTTCCTAGACAATACATGTCTGCTCCTCAGCAATTATTTCCTTGTAGACATGGATAAGGTTATCATCGGTATAATAAAAAGAAAAAGGGGGGTGTTGGCAAATTAAGGTGGGTGTTCAATGTGTGGTCACAGCTCGAATGAATACTGCTAACTGTTAACACCTGATCAAATACCGTTGACATCATGACACTTTAAGGATCAAGGTTTCTTCTAGCATATAAACCTAACATCAAGTAGCTTCTTTCAATCATTTTTTAAATCTGATAACATTTAATGCATTTCTACAATTAAAGTGTTACTCTTCTTCACTAAATAATCCTTCACTCTGAACCGTTCTCTACACTTTGTTGTATTTTGAGAGGCATTCTTCACTCCAGCAAACTGCTCATCTGCAGCCTGTAAGGTATCTGGTGAATGCGTTCACATTAACATGGCCATACAACATTACTTAATGACATATATATTCCCCTTAATAACTCAGGCATCCCACATTGAGACACATGACTTTCTTCATCTGTCCCTATTCAATAGCTCCTTACGATTGTACAAATCCTTCACAGCCAAATAAGCTTTTCCTCTGGCAAGATAAATACTCAAACAGAGCAGCAAGCAACAGTTTGTTTTTTAGTATTTCCTTGGTCAGCTCTACATTGTCCTTTAATATTAGTATGGTCTCCTTTAATGTGGATAAGAGACCCACTCACTAACACAAAAGTGTTTTTTTTTAAAGTAGTGTCTGATCCGTAGGCTTTGGCTCTACTAAATACTGTAAACAATCTTCATAGCTGGCTGGGACATTCCTTCTCTGGCTGAGGAGGCTCAGGGTCCACTGCAGGGACCATTAAGGGTCCGCCGGCTGTGCGGGAGTCCATAGCAGAATGCATGATAGTCAGCCATATGTCATCCATGTTTGGCATTACAAAGATTTTCTATAAGGACAGAGAAAGAATGTGATGGTGAATGGTAAAGACAATGTATGATTGACACATTAAGTCCTGAGTTTGAAAACATTTGATTTGTTGTGCATTTGTGTATGACCAAATCCAGTTCCGTAATATGGTAAAAAACAAAATCACTTCAGCAAAGTGAGGGGGGTAATCCTGAACAAAGGAGGAGTAGATACAGGAGAGATGCACTGATCAAACTGCAGTGTTGTTATTTGCTATTGTATTGTGATGTATTACCTTAAACAGTCCCTTTTTGGTTTAAAATGACAGTTGCTAGTGTAAGCCAAATACATCCATGATGGCAGCACACCTAAAGAAAACTCTACTGGATATAAAACCCATCCTTGAGATTATAATAGCACAGTAACGCCAGCATTTAGAACATTTCAGTGGAACTTTTAGTTCTGTCTTTAGTATTTTGTGTTCTCTCAGTAAGTTTATTCTGTTTCATTGTCTAAGGTCATTTGTCAACAAATTGATAAAAAAGAAGAAACAAGACAACTTTGCTGATTGGACATCGTGTCTCTGAATCCAGAATTGAAACCCCCAAAAAACAGTGCTTATCAATACCTGGAACTCCTGGTCCAGTTTTTTCTCTATCCAGTCGGTAACATGAGCCAGAGTGACTTTTCTTTCGCCCAGTTTAGGTCGCGCCTTCAGTTCTAGGTGAGGGGGCGTCCTGAAGCCATACCTGCAACAGTAAAGGTCAAGATGATCAATGATTTCAATTCAAACAATGTTATTGTTCACAAAAGAAGAAAGTGTAGTTCCACAGATTGCAGTCACCTCCAGCAGAGGGCAGTGATGTAATGTACACAGTAATGCTTTATTTAAAAATAAATAAAACTTGCACATGAATTTCTCTAAACACACAGATCCTTACATCCTTGTAAAGGTAGTTTTACATTAAATATACAGCAAGCATGTTGTTTATTAACTTCTAACTATTCATAGCTTTCACAGCTCGTCACACACACTTATGGAACTTTCCACCTGGCAGGCGAGAAAGGCTTTATACTGCTGCGCGCTCGGAGAAGTTATCACAGTTTTATTTTTTAAATTAAAGACAGTTGTCGTTGAATTGGATGCAATCCCAGAGACGAGGAGATAAACCTGGGTTGTACTTCTTCAGAATTGAAACGGTGAAAGAAATCCCAGAGGAGGAGAATGTGGATTGATGATTTTTAGAAGCTTCACTGTCTCTGTTGAGGGAACAAAAGAACAGATTTCTCCTAATATTCTCCTACCATCAGGTCTGCACCCTCTGTTGACTCTTTTAAGTCCCGTCTCAAGACACACTTTTATATTTTAGCATATAAAAGAGTCCTCTGGTCCTGAATAGACCGTTTCTTTCAGGTTCCTTTGTTGCTTTCTTTATATATGTATACATATATATATTTCTTTCCTGTGGACGTTGTGATCTCAAGTTGTTTTTTCTTTTTTAATGTATTGTACAGCACTTTGGTCAAATATGAATATAAATATGACTTGACTAATACTGTCATCAAATATTGTTCTATGATGAGCTAATTATACCTCACGTATGGTTTGATGAGGAATTTCTTGCCTTTTAACTCCCAAAGATCAGCATAACTGACCCAGACACATTGACAATTATTTAAATACAATCCTGCAGCAGTGTGAGAAGAAGGATTCAACACTTTACTACAAGTACAACCACTGAAGTGAAATCTTGTCCCTAGTGCTGTATACAGGTCACACATGGATTTATCTTAATAACATTATTTTTCTGTGATTGTCAGGGGATGCAAACATGCATTGTTTTTGGAGATGGAAAATGAATCTGGTGCTGCAGCTCCACTGTGTGTTCAACGGTGCCCTCCAAGGCTTTGCGTTGGTCACGTGACTGAAAGAACTGTCATGGGAGGAAATTTGGCTAATTAACAACAAGCTAAGAATCATGCATTCAACTCAGATGGCAATTGTCCTCCATCTGTGGGAAAGAGCTGCCACATGACTCTTTGTCACGCTGACAGACATTTAAATTCACTTTGTGCTAAGTTAATGAAGAAGAAAAAAAACAACATACCAAATCCTGTCAGTGGGTGGAGGAGGGATGTTGACAGCTAGTGTTCCCTGGAGTTCCTGCAGCTCCACAGTGAGAAGAAGAGGTGTGTTAGACACTTCCTCCATTTTCTTCTTGATGAACTCTGTTTCTGTGGCCTTCTGGAAGTATTTGGACTTTGTGATCTTGTCCACGAACCGCATGATTTTACTGGGTTTGTGACCTCCAACAAATCTTTATTTCAGAAGGGAAGATACAAATGTAGAGTAGCTGTTAATGATGCGTGTAAAAATAAATTGATTTTTTTTAAATTGATAAATTAATCCCTAAAGCTGCCAACATATTGTTGGGGTTAATTATGTCCCAGTTGAAATGATTAAGTCAGTATACAACTCAAACAAAAAAACATTTACATTCAGTTTAACATTTATAAAGGCCCCCCCATAACAGCTGGGTTTTGTAAAGTCCAATGATGGTTTTTGTATGTACTGTGATTTCTGGATGTCTCATGTTTTATATTCAACAACAACAAAAACATCTGAATTATATCTGTTCCTCTCTTTTCCATCCTCTCTAGACAAGACTATACTGAGAGTGTCCAGAAAGTCTGTCTCACCCCTCTGCTCCTGCAGAGTCATTTGAGAGCTCTGACATGTCTTCCTCATCTGAGGATCCAGCGCTGGAGGACTCTTCATCACTATCAGCTAAGCAGTAAGTCCTCGGCCTGTATCTGGACACACAGAAATATACATGTAAGAAAAGAAGATTGTGAACACACACAAACACACACACCACCAAACACATCTGAATGTATGCAGTAAGACATTCACAAGGTCCTATGTGTTTACTTAGAACTAGTGCCACATTTCTATAGTAAAGCTAACAAAGAGAGGTATCGTTGCATAACTCGGGCAGTTCAAATGCACGTTTGTTAAACATTTTTAGAAACATTACATTTATGAATAAGAATTTATTAAGATAGTTTTAAAAACCAAGCGGGTCCAGTTTGGTTCAGTGCAGTTTGGTAAAGTTGGGTACGTTAAAGCCTGATCTTGCTTGCGTTTCCGCAGCCAACCGTACCTTTATTATGGTAAGCGCAGTGTAAGCCAGATTTGAAATAGCCATAGTCAGCTACAGAATAGTGTGACATCATAACAGCCCAACACAGTGTAGGCCGCTATTAATGAAGTTCAACGAAGAAGAACACAGTAAACAAAAGGGACCCTTTAGGGTCCGATCGGCACCCCAACAGAAGGGTACCAAAAAAATAGGACCGTACGGATCCCTTAGTTTGGTACCATTCCCAACTTTTGATGGTGGAAATGCCAATAAATGGGTACCGTACTGAACTGAACCAGACCGCCTGGTGGAAACGGGGCTAAACTGACACATCGACTGCATACTAAACCTGTTTCCTGGTTGAAACTGGCAGAAAGGAAGTTATGTCTTATGCAAGAGCCTCCAGAGATCTATACTGCACTCACTCTCTGTAATCTAAGCAGTATGACAGATGAGGCAGAGTGCATCTCTCCTGTATCTACTCCTCCTTTGTTGAGGATCAAATTTGTAAACACAGAAACACTGATACATTAAGAAATAAAAAAGTGTTAGGTGGTTTCATAAAATGAGAAAAGACTGTAGACATACAAATAAAAGAACGAGACATGAGCAGTATATTTATTGTTTTTAGAATCATGCAGCACTCACCGAGAGCAGGAATACACCCATTTAGCAGTTGTGTTAAAGGCAGAATCCAACCAGAGAGGAAGCAGCAGTGAAGAGAGAAGAGAGTGTAGAGAAGACAGCAAAGATATAGAAAACAAGAGTGAGCCAGACAGAATGTACAGATTAATATAGGTAGAGCAGAAAAAACAGGTAGAGCAGAAAAAAGGTCTTAAATCATTCAACTGAAAAAAATGAACCTTGATTTATTTTTTAAGAATGTGTCCGTCATCTAGAAGACTTTGACTGTCTTACCCATCTTTGCCAAATTCTCCTAAGCGGACACTCTCTCCCTCCTTGCCCAGGCGGATGAGGTTCATCTTGGTTTCCAGGGTCATCAGGAAGGAGCCGCTGTAGGAGAGCTCCAGGTCAAACCACAGACCTGAAGGGAAGCACAATAGTTTCATGAAATGTTTATCTGAGAGAACATGACAGAAGTGAAACTACAGCAGGGGGGAAGGTCCACAGAAATGAGACTGATTTACAGTAAACGCTGTACTCATCAGTGATGATACTTTAGTGACAGATCCCGTTTATCTCATGTTCAATGCAGTTCAGGCCACTTCCCTTCTCTTGTATGTTGAATCTCTCGCTCTGTCTTACTCCTTTGTTTCCACATTTATTCTTAGGCTCTACCCTTGCTGTCTTGCATTTTCTGTGACGCCATTCTCTTGCACCCCCCCCCCAAGCATCCTAGAAGTTGAGACCCCAACAGATTTGATTTTCTTGATCCATCCACTAAAACGAGAAATACTCCGCCAAAGAGTCTGTGAAGGAGCAGATCACAAGGTCCTTTGAACAGAGGGGAAACAGTTGGGGAGCACACAATCTCCCCCCTAGCCCCCTTTTGATATCAGCAGGCAGGGGGGGGGGGGCTGGCTGCGTACACAGCTCTAGCTCGCTCGCTCTCTTTTTCCCTGCTTTGTCCTCTACTTTACCAAAACTTGCTATAATCTGGATAACATAAACCCTCCCCCAACAGCCTCAATCCAACCCCTGACAAACTTTGGGCGGGCTTTACATGCTACACACTTTTTATTTTTCTTCTTTTGTTCAACACAGGATCACATGCTCTTGCATACAAAGAGCCCAAAAATAAACATGACTACCATGGTGTTTCTTCCTTGCACCACTGGGAGGCAGCAAAGGACAAAGGATTTAAAAAAACAGGTTAAAAGAAGGAATTCAAAGCACATTGTATGGAACGTGGTTTAAATCAAGAAACATGAATGTATACCATGCAAAGTCTAGACAATGAGTACAAACATATAGAACATCATTAAGTGCACAGTAACACAAGTTTTTTCTAATATTTAGATATCTTACTTAACAACAGTTCACATGGCCGAGGAGTATAGGGTACAGAACCAGGTGACTCCAGGTTTCTCTTTGGGTCCATGAGAAAATAGTTTCAAGAAACTGTTGCTATTGTGCCAACATCTGTGGTTTAAAACACACAGCACTAGAAGAGGTCCCTGAAACTGAATGCTCCGTTAAGTCCTGAAACCCCAGTTGGTTGTGCAAAATGATGAGATCATGCAAAGAGTGTCACAGGGTGAAAGAAAGTCAGAGAGAAACAGAGTTCTGCTAAAGTTAAAGCAGAGAATAACTTGGAGAAAGAATAAATAAAAACAGAGGGTTCAAAAATTCAGTTTGACTATGGAACAAAGACACAGTTTGAACTGTCTGAGTCTGCCCAACGTGGTGGGCTTTGCTGCACCTGCCTGCCTGTTCATTGTGAGGTGGTAGATAAAATGACTGTGTCTAGATGGGTTTAGGTTTGTTGGAGGAAAGGATTGAAAAGCCTGGGTGCAAGCTGGGGGGGGGGGGGCAGTGGTGTAGTGCTTCCTTAAATAGGGTAGAAGCACACTGCAGGAGTTAGGGTTGTGCATCCATCAAAGAAATACAGGGTTACCACTGTTATGCAATTAGCAATGGGCACTAAATCAAAAGTACAAGTGCCCATGCCATGTAGAGATTCGCACACAGACACACACAGCTGGAGAGGTTCATTGATCCAATGCACTCAGCATGTTTATTCCAGGAAAGGAAGCGGGGTGAGACGAGGCAAAGGCAGAACCTGAGACGCTTGGAAGATACAACCATTGTAATTCTAGTGGAAATTTAAAAAAAATGAATCAAAACTGACCAGAAAGTTTTCAATTATCAAGTCTAGTTATGATCGAAATACACAACATAAAATAGGAATAACAGGATTTCAGAGCATATACCTCTACCTTCTGTGTAGAGGGCGGCAATCAGAAGCTGATGACCTCTCAGCAACATCAACATTAGGGTAGCTTTAGTACACAGGGTTCCTTTAAAGTGGCTGTTGAAGTGTGTTTTGCCTGGAACAGCTCCAACAAATGACATCTCAGTTGGAGATGCAATCAATTCCTGCTCTGATTATAGGGTAATGTGAGTGCTGCCGGATAAAAAAGCCAGTGACTCACAGCATTGGGGGGGCAGTGAGACTAAAGAGTGAGTAAGGACACAAAGAGGAAGATGAAATGAAAAGGGAAAGAGAGAAAACAGGGAAGACAGTCAGAGACATGTGAAACGGACGATGAGACAGATCTGTTGCAGGATAAAGAGAGAAGAGGAAAAAAAATATTGCATGAAGGGATTGAAAGCTCAGTGCTGACTCAGAGCTGAATGACCATCGAGTGACTCCTTCAAATGACAAACACAGCTCCCACTGATCAAAAAATAGAACACAGTTTGCTTCAAAGTTCAGCTTTTATTTTAGGCAAAATATCAGTGGTATTGCTCCAAGCAAATGTACAGTCCATCACAAAGCTGAGACCTCACATAGCTAAGCCTCCACAGATAACCATAAGACCTACTAAAGTGCTTAGGGCTGGATTGTATTGTACTCAGCTTAGAGCTCACTAACCAATCAAATTTGGTTATACCTCTGAAACTGCATTTAAAAAAAACATATCGAGAGCGTTGTTTTCAAAGAGCTTCAGTACAACTTTCCTCCAATAGAGGAGTTTGAGTCATATTTTTAAACACACACCTTTTGTAACACAATCCAAAAAAAACAATCCTATCCGTGATCAAAATCTGTTCCAATCCAAACAGTGGGATTTAAGATCTGTGACACCACTAGAGATGAATCCTAACAGGACGATGACATAACACTCTGCCTTTTATTACTCTCTGCACTTTCATTACTTGTTTGTGATGTCTGCTCTGATGGTTATATGTGTAAGCACTTCAGCTTGCACAGAATGGTTTTCATTGGATGAATACAGCTGCTGCTTTTTTTAGAATAAAAGCATATTTTTGCATTCAGACATTGCTGTAGTAACATGATTTTATTAATCACAACAAGAAGATTAAAAAAAATAAAAGGCGGCGTTACCAGTCTTTAGACAAAAGGCCACTTCTGCCCATGTCAGAAGATTGCAAAAGTATTGTCCCAATTTGAGAGTTTATACTCCTTGTCGTGCTGCAAGATCGTGAAATAGAAAACAATATCTTGTATTTTGGAAAGATTTTGACAATGCTCTAATTCTTGTTATGAAAAGTAATTTAGGTAACTAAAAATAAAATCTCAGAGACCGAGAAAGCAACGGTCAACAACTGTTACAATGCAGAATGTGAAATGTACACTCAAAACAATACATTTATGTTAGATAAGTCTTTTTTTAATCTGATAAATGTATTTGCTCTCTGCTCGGCTTGATCAAATAAAGTCATCTCACCTTTTTTTAAAACCTCAGATTATTCAAGCAGTTTTTTCCACTGAGGGATACAAATTGTGAAATGTGGCATGACTCTTGCTTTTTAAGAAGCTTTGTTTTGTTTACTCCGTATACTGGAGGATCCAGCCAAGCTGTTCCGAGATAACAAGTGAACCTTAAACCGCCATGAACTGACCCCGCCCCCTTTCATAATAAGAATTAGAATAATGTGACTAGGCGAGCCTTCTATTTCCTCATTGATTTCTATTTTTCCTTGTTTTATTTTAGTATAATTCAATTCAAAATATTGCTGACAAAAAACAGACATAAGATATAGAAGTTAAGCCTCTGCAAAGATGTTGTTGTATTGCTGCATCTATCCAAAGCACTTTGAAATAACACCACCAAACAAGCCAATGTCTTGTCCAAGGATGCTTGGACACACAAACAGAACAATCGGGAACAACTCTACCTCCTGTCCATCTCATCTGGGGTGTACACTGAGTGTTTAAATACTGGCTTGGAAATCAAAGCCAATCTAAATGTTGTGCATGGAAGTTGAATACTTACGTGTTGCATGTGTGAAAATGTTACTTCCTTTAATGACCTTGTTACTTTGTAAATGGCTAAATGTTTAGCCTTTCCAATAAAGACTTTTAACAGCAGCTTAGAAAATCTCTCTGCTTTGTTGGGAGAATAATTCATGTTCAGCATTAACACATTGGCTAATTATTTGTGTAGTGTATTTCCATGTGATGGAATACAAGCATGTGTGCTAACTGCTACCTCACAAATGCAGTGAGGGGGATGGGCAGGGTGCAAGTTCATCACCTCAAAAACACTATTTCCTCTAACACTTCTTAACTCTGAGTAAACTCCATGAAAACACATCAGTGAAAACAAACTAGCCTTACCACGTGTTTGGCTTCATTATCTCTAATATGTAACTAACTCACCAGAGGGGTGTCACGTTCAAACAATGATCATCTAAATGAGCTCTGTGCAGAAATACATATTGTACAATTAATCAGAACTTCCCAGAATAGCAAACATATACCTCAATGCACCGATCACATCGTGTAAGTAGCCAGACATACCAGTATCTCTCTTCAGTAACAACTGAGTATGTGTGTGTTTTTTGGCCTTCATGATTTTTCTCTTACCTCGGTAGTCAATGGAGGGTTTGGACGCCCGGAGAATTCTGGGAGTGGCTGAGCCCATGTCCAGTTCTGTCAGGGTTAGCTCATTCATGAAATATGGTAACTGAAAACACAGAATTGTATACAACTCATCTGAGCACACTGTACATAAAGTATTCAAGTGTATGAAGTTAAATAATCAATGATGAAAAAAAAAAGGCCCTAAAGAGTATTTTCGATAGGTGAAAAAAGGACGCACACATCTAAATTCATGTATAACTTCTCTATACACTCTAATTGACCTGTTTCTTTACCGCCTGTTTAAATCCACATTGTTGCAGTGAAAGGTTGTAACGGCCTTGTTTCACTCACCCGTATCTTGCTGAGTTTCATCTGAATCTTGTTGGAGACCAGTTCAGCCCAGTGGGGCTCGCTCAGGAAGTCCCAGAAGACACGGCCGAGAGCCGCATTCACCCAGGCAACATTATCATCCTCCTCCTCCACACAGGGCTGCACAGGAGCTGAAGTGGTGCTCTGAAGCTAAAGACACAGCAATTCATATCAACATTAGTCAGGAAAAAATAAAGAATTTCATACATCAGTTCAATGTTCTGAAAAATTCACCTCCCTTACAATACAACCCTTTACCCCTCTATATTTCAAGATGGATCATCTTCATCACTAGGTCATTGTTTGTCGTGACTTTGCACTCTAACACAACTCGGTTAAATTGCAAATAGATAACAAGTAGGTCACCAGTGAGAAGAATTTTAAAGGTGTTCATAGTGTAAATGGAAGATGTGTTACCTTCTTATCAGACCCCGGGCTGCTCTGAGGACTCTGAGGAGCAGGGCTGGTAGCTGCAGGGCTCACTGCTGCCTGGTTTGGCAGCATGGAGGCCATATATACACTGTAGTCCAGTAGTGGCTTTGCTTTGGCAATGCCTGCTGTGGATGAGGAGGCTGAGGAGTCCTTTGACTTTGGCTGAGATGCCAGTTCATCCAAACTGCCCCGGCTGCTGCTGCGACTGTGAGAGTTCAGAACCGTGGGCGCTACAAAAACAAGTCAGCAGTTAAATACTGCACCGAATGATTTTTTGGATTCAAAACTGCTCAAACTTGAGACAGATTGAATTTAATTAAATACATACATTTTAATGACAGAACAGATTGCAGTGTAGTTATAAGTTAAAAATCCCTAAAATGCAACAAAGAAAATGAAAGTGCAGTCATGTAAAGCACTTCAAAGCACATCAAGGGCACAGAATAACAGCTGAGTTTTTTTTAATTAGAATGAAAAGTTGCACAAGTTTGGTTGTATTTGATATCGAAGTTAGGCTTAACTATTCTAAAACTAAATCTCAAAATTCTAGCCAACACACAACACAGTGTTTCCATATCAATTAGTGGTGTAAAACTTTTGAACAGTTTCAATGTGGAGCTGAATAAAAGTCCAAACACGAACCGGTTTAAGGATTGTTTTTACAAAAACATGATTTCCAGAAGGTACAGGGATGCAGAAGATGCTTCAAAGTTCACTGGGTAGTTCAACCTGTGTCTCACTTGAGTTATTAGCTAACTGATTAAAAATGTTTAAAGGGCCCTACGTGGTATATTTGTACATTGTGTAGTCGTTTTTTTAACGAACAGAAGCTCTTAAAAATGATTTTAAAATGTCAGATTTTGTCAATACGCTGGTGGTATAGTTTATGATTAAAACTTTCAAAGACAGTTGAAAGTTTTAATCTTAATTTTAAGACAGTTCAAAATTTGGGAAAAGAGGAGAAAGCAGTGGACAAATGAAACAAGACAAACAGTTTCCCCCTATATTTTCTCTTTAACTGCAGGAAACAAATCCGGAAATTCAGGAGTGTCCCATAGCTCACAAGTTAGAAGAAAAAGAAAAATAGAACAGAGAAAACAAAACATCAATATTAATTTAACACTGCATGGAAATTAACAGATAATTAAAACACTAAAATTCTTTATATTCTAAATACTTCTTATAATGGCACAAATCACCAGGATGTTAGTGAGAGAAACAAGAAAAAGATGATGTCAGTTTTGCTCACCGCTCTTGCACACTGCAACGCCTGTGGCTTTCTTTAAATCGGCCTTGAGCTTGGACGCTGAGAGAAAGCGCTGGAACCACTCCTCCTTCTCCCTCCCAGTCCTTCCAAACAGGTAGAGGGTCAGGTCTCTGCTGGATGAAGACCTTCGATCCTGTGCTCCTCCTGCGCCCTCTCCTCTGTCCCTCGTGCTGGGGCTCTCACTGGGCTCCCACCGGTCACCCTCGGCCTTAGACATGAAGTCATCCTGTTTGCTGAGTTCTATGCAGATGGGGTATTTTTTGTTCCATACACGCTTCCTGGCCAGACTCTGAGGCACTACATATACCTTGAAAGATAATGGAAGACAGACATGAGAATAACAAAGTTCAAACATTTTTCCCCAAAAAATCATGCATTTTTCAAATACTTTTTGAAGAGTTTTAGCACTATATCCAATTCTGTAAACATTTGTCCTTATCTAAGTTAAAATAGACACATTCAACATGCCTTGGACTAGGCTCACATAGGTGTACAGTACATTGATTAGTAACGACAGATGACTTTTAACCATGCTGCAGAAAGGTTAACCAAAGAAAAGAAATAATTTACTGATCACATACTTTGCTGTTTGTGAGGTCATAGATCTTCTGGCTGATGTAGGTGACATCAGGTTTTGGTTCATTATGTGTTGCACGGCGTGCAATGTTGTGATTGGGTTTGGAAAGACGAATGATGGAGCCCTCCAACCGGACAAACACAGACTGCGTCAGTGTGGCATGGTATGTCTCGGGGTCGTAGTTGGAGATCTCATTCATCCAGCCCTAGAGGGGAGAAATCTCCATTTTACATTATGTAGATTACATGTACTAGGATTGAGTTGCAACACAATAATTCTCTCAAAAGAGTTACATTTTAAAATCTAAAAAGGTACTGTATGTTTTTTTCATAAAGATGAGTCTTTTTAACAATTGTATTCTCTCTACGTTTCAATATTTGCGCAGAGAATTGCTTTTTGAACAACTACAAGCAAAGAGAAGTTAACAATCCAAACCTGTGCCAAAAAAAGACGGCAGTGTGAATATCCATTAACAGTGTGTTGTCACACATGTTTAATATTTCTATAAAAGGTGACCTGTCTGTCGAAACTTCATACTGTTGAGAAAGAGTCTTTATGTGGTAGGCTTTGAAGTTCCACTCTCTAAAATAAGCCCACATCCAGTTTATTTTTTGCTTTGTCACTTCATTATAAAACTGTGCAGCTTTTATTCACAGCAAACCATAACTATTGAATTACATTATAGTGCCCAGATTTATTTATTTATAAAGATAACATTTGCATTGAAAGTGATATATCCCACACTCCAAAAAATAAAATAAAAAAATTAAAATAAAATTTACATTTCTAGACAAGAGAGAAAGATCATCTTGGGAAGACATAAAAATGGGTTTTTCATTTGAAAGAAACACATTCATCAGCTAGAAATTTGAACATTTGAAATATTGACTGACCTTATAGATTTCTGGTTCCTTAATGTCCAACTTGTTCAGATTCCAGAACTTCCCATGAAATCTGGAATGTCTAAAGCGTCTGTCGGAAGGTTTTGGTCCTGTCAACCAGACCACACCAATGGCTAAAAGGAACCCCAGAGCGATCCCAAGCAGAACTCCTCCGACGTAAGTGGGAAGCGGTAACACAAAACACCCATAGACCACAAGAGTAAGGATGATGAGAGTGTAGTGTGGAACACTTGGTGCCGGCTCAATGCTTTGTGATTCATCTTCACTGCATGGTTCAGTACTACCACTTAGTGGCACTTTAGTTGGGCTCCCGCTTCCAGAATCAAGAGTTCTATCACCCTCACCATCTGTCTCTGTGCAAATGTCAAAGTCTTTGTTGTAAAGAATGCAAAAGTCCTCATCCTCTTGTTTGGCAAGAGCAGACATGGAGCATTTGTCCAATGACATGGACAGTGAAGAGGGTTTGTTGGGGCACTCGGTGTCAGCACTGGGAGGATCAGGCAGTTCAGCAGGAGCATGGCTGTTGGGGCTCTCTGCCTCCCAGTCACCTCCTTCTTCCTCCTTGATGCAGTAATTGTTGTTGCTCTCCGGGTGACCATTGACAGAACTTATGTTGGAGAGCTCTGTAGCACTGGCAGAGAGGGCCTTGGGCCGGTAAAGGCTGCTACTAGACAGACTGCTGCTCCTCTCATCGATGATCTTACTCAGCAGCTGGAGTGGTTCGGAGATGGCCTCAGAGAGACGCCGCTTGGTGTCTTCAATCCTGGCCTCCACTTCTGAGACTTTGAAAAAGCTGCGATTGTCTGGTGAGGTCAACGGAGAGGAAGGGGCTGTTTTTGAATCACTTGCTGATGATGTGCCACCAGACCGGGACTGTGTGAATTGCTTGAAAAGTTGCAGGTTGAGGCGGGATTCTGGAAGACGGTAGGGCGTGGAGGACGAGGTGGAGGAGGAGGATGTGTCCTGGGATGTATCTGAAGATAAAGATTTGACAAAGTTCTTCATTAGGTGCCGATGCCTAACTGTAGGAGCAGCAACAGAGGGGATCCCCTCACAAGTCTCCATGTCAGAGGAGAGAGACTTCACCAAACTGAGAAACGGTTTGTCGCTGGAGGGAAAGCTTGAAGATTTAGAAGGAGAAGAGGAAGAAGTTGAGCCTTTATTCTCAGCAACATCCAATGACGGCGTGTCTGTGGGTAAACTGTCGGTGTGTTTTCTAGAAACTAAAGAAAGTCTGGAGTCTGGTGTTACCCCTTCAAACATCTCCTCGCTTGCTTCTAAAGCTGTCACAATGTTTGAGTCATTCCGAATGGCTGAGGTAGCTGAGACGGAGGTAATGTACAACTCTTCTTCCTCCTCTTCTTCCTCCTTCCCAAGAGCTGAGAAGTGGATAGTGATGTTCTCCTTCGACAGCGATCGCTGGACATGGAGCTTGGGGGATGCAGTGGATGGCTTCTTTTCTGTGGAGTGAGCGCTCTCTGCATGGCTATGATGCTTGCTGGTCATCGCAGTACTCCAACTGAGTCAGTGTCTGAAAAGAAGGCAGAGATGACAAATTAGAGATAAACTTAGAAAAGAAAATATCAGATATGATTTTTGACGTTCTTATTATCACAAATAATTAAAGCATAAAAATGCCAAAGATTCTCTGGTTCCAGGATCTCGACTTGTGAGAAATGTCGAATACTTAGGGATATATATTGGACTGTTAGTTGGAAAAAACAACTTTGGTTACAAATGAAATTTAATAATTGGATATCTGTACCAATCTATAGACAAAATAATACATCCCATCGTGTAAATGAATGTTCTATTTAACCAAACTATAAATAACTTTAAGTTGCTGCCCAATACTAAATTCAATATCTGAAAACAACACTGACTAAACTTAAAATGTGTGTGACTTCTGACTATAAACAACATTTGCCAATGATGCAGGCCCTACATTCTTTAAATCAAGCAAGAGAAACAAGAATAATTCAAAGGGAAGCACATAAACGGAGGAGGTAGACTTCTCAAATTGGTAGCCAGTGATAGAGCATTTCGTTATCACTTCACTAGAAAATCTCAGTAATTGGTCTGGGCCCCTGCACAGAGGGAGCTAGGATTACATTCATGGTGAAATTAATTTATTTCTATGAGGTTAAAAAACAGTGACTAGCAACATTCCAGGCAGTGACAAAATAAATAAAGTCCAAGGGATCTAGCATTCTGGCTCAGGCTTTGGAGAATTTATAAAAACCCAAATTATAAAAAAAAACAAAAAAAGAGATGACGCATCATATTTTCAAAAATATATAATCAATACATTATTGTGTCTTCATTTTATCCATCTAGAAACTGAGCACAAGTGTATTATGTTCCTTATTTCCCATTCACAAGTCCATTTACATGTGTACCTGTGTTGGTGGTGACAAATGCAGTGTTACATCTATTCTGTACCAGTTGGTTGTGCCTCAAATTCACCATCTCTTTTTTTTTTTTTTGGGGGGGGGGGGGGGGGGCTTTTTGTGCCTTTAATGGAGGTATGACATGCGGGAAAGGAGCCACAGGTGTGATTTGAAACCTGGGCCGCCCGCTTGGAAGACTATAGCCTCCACACATGGGGCACGCACTAATCACTGCGCCACCAGCACCCCAGTTCAACAGCATCTTAAATCCCCACAAACAAACAACTCAGATGTAATGAAACCCCACTCCCACTCATCACTTGCTTGGACTAAATACCTGCCACAAACTTCTAAACCGTTCAGGAAAATCAAAACGCCCAATGAGGAACATACTTGGTCAAGACTTTACGATGTTTCTGAGGGTGCATAACTTTGTAAGGGTAAATCAGTTCAAGTTTTTAAGAAAATTTTCACATTTCAACCATACAAAAACAAATTTGTGTTATCAATTCGTTTTATAATATGAACCATTTAAAACCTTGGCCGATAAAAGATTAAACAACATACTGTCTAAGTATTAAAGACGCCGTTGAACGCAAAGACTTCAAGAACAAACTTCCAGAGACAACAGCAAAAGTCCAGAAAACAATCTGAAATCATGTAAAACAGCAAGATGATACAGAGAACTGGGCTCCACAACAAGATGTCTTAAGTACTACTGTGGTATAATAAAACATATCTTTCTATTATACAAGTCAAAGAGAAGGATCACACTTCTCTTAAAGGAACATAAGCAGGGGCGTGTCCAGAGAGGGGGACCAGGGGTGGCATGGGCCCGACTTGAAATCTTATTGGCCACCCGAGGTGCCACCCCAGAATCCCTAACTGTGATTGGCTATTTGCCTTACCAGAGGTGGGACTTATGTTGCAACAGGCAGCTCATAGTTTTCAGTCCACCCCAGTCCAAAAAGTCTGGACATGCCCCTGAACATAAGGCTGTGCAGATTGAAATACCTTCTTAGATTTAAAGTAGCAAATAAACAGAGACATTTCAGAAGACATTTCTAACTGAAATACACAATGAGGAGTTTTAACTGGCTATAAATCAGTCATAATTTAATGCAGTAGTGACCCAAAATGACCAAAAAAAAAGCTAACTGGGTCATCATTTCTTGAGTTATTTTTAACGCCTGACACCACTGCCATCTAGTCAGATTCCATCAAAGAGATTTGCAGCCTGCAGACTGAAAGAGCTATTGTCTGTATTTTCCCCAGACGAGTTCCATGGCGACTTGTATGGTAGATGGTTAAAATTAAGCAGGATGAAATATTTGGTTAGATAAGAATACTTATGCCACACATACACGGCAGGATTAGCAATGAGTAAAGGAGTATTATGTCCACAGGGCCAGAAAGATCAACACAAAATGAACATTCCTCACAAGTGCTCTGCAAATTATTTAAAATAGAACACCTGACAAACACACAATTTACATATGTAGGAGAAAACACTTTTTTTTGAGGGAAACAAATTGGAAAAGCTTTTTTTTTTTGTGAATGTGATAAAGTGAAATGATTATTTTGTGGAGTACGCTTTAAGCAAACAAGCATTTTATTCTACAAACTGAACACTACTTCTGATCTTTAAGAAGCCATTATGTGATGTCCCTTGTTTATTTGGTCTTAAATAGCTAAGGAGAATAAAGCTCTAAGTCGCACAGCATTTATAAACTCATTTCAGTCAGGAGCTGCTACTTTAAGGTGGCCTAGTAAAGCAATGTTAAAGTGTTGCTGTTGAACAAAAACCTTACGATTAAGGAACATCTTTAGCTTCATTCTTTAGTATCATGCACAAAAATAGGAACTTTAGTGATCATGATCAGATGTCCAGAAGGTCGTATGTAAATGCACAAAATCTATAGCTACGAATTTAGTGTGTTACTAAGCTGCCCAGTGTAAAGCTGTACAATACGCTTACAATGGAAAGAATTTATTCTTAAGCAGGACTTTTCCCGAGAAAAATATTTCCACTTTCCCTTTTAACTGTTTGTAAGTGGCATTTTGCAAAACGATAAATAACTTCTTTGACAAAAACAAAACACATTTCATGGTTAGTTTCTGTATTTAGGATCGATTTTCTGAACTATTGCCTAATGTTGACATCTATGTGACAGAAATCTGTGTTTTTTTTGTCCTGCTGACATTTAGCTCTGGCAGCATTGTGCCTTGTCTGGACAGCGGAGGTGGCGTGAGGTCATGCTTGCTCGCTCATACACAGGCTCAACTTGGCCACTCATTGTCACATGGGTCACGAGTGAGCTTGTTACCCAGCCAGGCAGACTGCCAGCCACCTCTGTCTTTAGCCAGCCAGCCTTCAGTCAGCAACACAATGAACCTATTCTCTCTCTCAATTTGGACATGGATTTCATTTAAACATATTTGGCTCATAGAACAGAGATTTATTTGCCAACAGCACATTACGATTTAGTGGTTCACTGGGAAAAATGTGCATTTATTTGTTTGTTTGTGTGATCTGTCAGCTGATTCTATCTGCCAATACACACTTGAGAGATGGAACAAACAAGTACAGCAAAACACTGGGCAAGAATATTGGTGTGTTTATGTATTTGGAAGTTATTCCCATGTGTATTGTACAATGAAGTCCTTGTATGTCCTGTGGAACACAGTGGCTTTCCCTGAGCTAAGCAGACAGTGCAGAATGAAATCTGCCCACTGATGCTGATGAAGCTAATTACAGACGCAAGCCCGCCTCATTTACCCTCATGTTTGGCACTAATTAGCAACATGTTCACAGCTCACTTCTTCTCTATCAAGCACTACACACTTGTAATGAGAAGAGACTCAAGGAGCTTCAACACATGCTGAAGACATCTAAACACATGAACGTAGCATGGCGTTGTGTCTCTGGGCCAACAGATGCAGTGATCAAATGAAGTGGAAAAATATTCATTAGTGAGGTGACATGATGGTAGTTTCATTTCATTTGATGTAAAAGGTTATTTGATGCAGTGAGGCTTAATCATGTGGATTGTTACGACAGGCCACTGAAATCTCAAATATGTGAATGTAACTGTTTGAATGCTGCTGTGATGTGCTTGTTTCATTAATGTTATCTTTGTGTTTTTCAATGGCTCGGTAGGCTGGGAAACTGAATTGCCCTTCTGGGATAAATAAAGTTGTCTGAATCTGAAGATAAGATAAGATAATTCTTTATTTATCCCACAATGGGGAAATTTACAATCTGAATCTGAAATACAAGCCGTTTTAAGTGTCTGATTGTTTTCTTCAGAGTGACTTTTTTTTAAGGTGTGAACAAAAGCTTGCAACTGCTTCCCATTTTATTCCCCTTGTTCACATTAAAAGCTGATTCAGGGAGAAGAAATTAGGAGTTATCATAACTTGCCTTAGAGGCTGTAAGTATCTGTTAAGAATACATTTTATCAACACTATGCAACCATGCTGGTTTTGGCTAAGTATTATGTAATGTTCAGAAAATAATCAGAGAATGACATTTCAATATAAAACATATTTGCTGTGTTAAAAAACTCCCAACGTAGGATGATAGTTCACTCAAGAGGATTCATCTCTTTTTTGATCTGGAGTGTATAGTTGACTGGTTTGTGGATTGATTATAAATATGAATGCATTGACGGATTCAGTATGGACAGAGCATCCAATGTTATGCAATCCAAGGCAATGGGAAAGTTGAACTTCAACATTCTGAACAGAAAGTCGGATTGATGGCGACTAACAAAATCCACTTCATCTTGTTTTCTAACTTTGGAGCTGATCTCATTTGTTGTCATCAGGGAAAAGGATCAGACATCTGTCAATTTTTTAAAAATCTAATTGATCTAGAGCCATGGGTTATCTACTGACGATGCCTTCATTAAAAAAGTATTATGGATTTTTTTTGTGTTTCAATTGGGATTCAATGCTGATTAATCATTGAAAGTTTGACAATGCTTGGAAAAAAACTTTTTTTTTTGTGTGCGTCAGCGCCACAGTAGCCAACAAGTAGAGCAAAGAGTAATCCTTCCTTAAGAGTGAGAAGCAGCTGTCACTTTTTTACTTGACTGGATGACCTCTGCTGAGTTCATCACAAGTTCACAATCCCTCC